AAGGTAATAAGTGTTTTACCAAATATATAACTATTGAAAGTAATACAAAAAAAATTTAAGAAATTTACACAAATTTTATTTAATATATATTTATGCAATAATATTTATTTAAAATAAATTTTACATTATAACTGCCCAGGTTTCAATAAACTATTAAAGTCATTGTGCATTTTAAAATGATCTTCAAATAAAAGGATTATTTTCTTATTGATTTTGAGTAAAGAATGTCGCCAATTTTGAATCTTTTGCAATAAAAATAGCTTGTCCTTGTGGAAATTCATAAAATTCATTAGTAAATGGAATTTTACCAATGAATATTGCTCTATATGTTTTTGTATTTTCATTGTGGTAAATTCTTATAACATGTCTACCTCTGACACCAAAAGAGTCATTACCAAAAGAGCAGCACTTACAAATGAAATAAGTCCCACGTGGCCGCACACGGCACACCGGCAGGCGTGCTTCTGCTCCCACAGACTCGTGTGTCGTCATTCATTCGAAGCCTTTCGAAGCTGCCTATATAGCTGTTGAGTTTAGTCTTCTGAGTTCTGATTATCTAATTAGTAAACCTGCGTAGACGTAAATAGTTAGCCACGTGTGATTTGCCAAGTGAACATTGCGTGTTGCTTTGTTGTTCTTAAAAAGTGTGTTATACACCAACAATTACAAAGTGACATAACCTATTTCGTATCCAAATAAAAATGGAATTCGTATCCGACCACGTGTTGGAGGGTTGCAGCAGTGGTGGTGGTTTCATCAAATCTCATAAGGATGCTATTTTCAAAAAACCTCAAATGTTAATGTATGGCTTAGATAAACTTACAGAACAAAAACTCAGGCAAAGATCTCTCGAGTTGAAACCTTCAATAAGAGATGTATCTCAAGAAAATAGAAAAAGAAAATATCACAGCCATGCCGAAGAAACACCAACATATACTGGTGGAATTGATAAAAAGGCAAAAGAGAGGTTAGACTATAGGATTAATAGAAAGAATCACAACAGAAGGAGAGCTAATTACAAAAAAGATCAGAACAGTCGCAGAGAAGGAACACCAAGTTTCAGTATTGAACCATCTTCACTGAGTTATTACAAAGCAAAGGATGGAACATCAAAATCATCTTGGGACGATGAAGATGAATATGAAACGCCTAGAAAAAGATCTACTTGGGATCACTCTAATCCTTGTTTGTACAGAGGTGTTGCAGATAGCCTGAGGAGCAAATTCACGCCATCTTATGAGTACAATGCTTGAGCTGAAGATCGCAAGCAATCGGGTGCTACTCCATTAGCAGATCAAGCAGATATAGAAGCTTGGGAACAGGAGCAGAAAATACTTGACCAAGCCTGGTACGACCATGAAAACACACACTTTGAAGATGTGTCCGAAGAATATGATCTGAAAAAAGAAGAAGAATTGGAAGAAAAGAAAAAAAAGAAGTTGTCAGCTATGCAACACCAAGTAAACAGAGACAATCTCAAATGGGAAGAAAACAGAATGTTTTCTTCCGGAATTTTCAAATCAACGATTGTCGATGATGAAGTTGACCATGAAGAAGAAGCCAAAGTACATCTCCTTGTGCACAATGTTGTTCCTCCATTCCTCGCTGGTCGTATTGTCTTCACAAAGCAACCTGAACCCTAAATACCTGTAAAAGACGTAACGTCACCAATGGCTTTATTATCCAGGAAGGGATAACATTTGGTTTGTTGCCACAGAGAAGAAAAAGAAAGGAGAAAGGCGCAAAAGAAGCATTGGAACTTAGCTGGTACAAATCTTGGGAATATCATGGGTGTGGAAGATTGCAAGAAAGAAGATGTAGAGGTTTCCAGTGAAGAATGCAATTATAAAAGTGCACAAAAATATGCGAGTCATGTAGATGACCAAGTGACTCAATCCAAATTCAAGAAAATCCAAGAGCAAAGGAGAAGCCTGCCTGTTTTTGGCGTGAAGCAAGAACTGCTGAATGTTATAAGGGATAATCAAGTAGTCATCATAGTTGGAGGGACCGTCAGTGTTAAAACTACTCAGCTGACTCAATACCTACACGAAGATGGGTACAGCAAGTACGGAATAATTGGATGCACTCAGCCCAGAAGAATAGCTGCCATGAGCGTAGCCAAGAGGCCGTGTCCGATGAGATGGATTCCAAGCTAGGGGACAAAGTGGGATACGCAATTCGTTTCGAAGACTGCACAAGCCCAGAGACAATCATCAAGTACATGACAGACGGTATTCTGCTGCGAGAGAGTTTGCGCGAAGGTGATCTCGATCGCTACAGGGTCATTATAATGGACGAGGCTCACGAGCGCTCGCTGTCGACCGACGTACTGTTCGGCCTCATCAAAGAGGTCCTCAGGCGTATGCGCAGCGCCAGTACCTGGACGAGCTGCTCGAGGCCAGCGTGCCCGAGATCCAGCGCACGAACCTGGCCGTGCTGCTGCTCAAGTCGCTGGAGGTTGCTGATCTGTTGCGCTTCCCCTTCATGGACGCGCCGCCCCAGGACAACATTCTCGACTCGCTGTACCAGCTCTGGATGCTCGGTGCCATCGACAACGACGACCAGCTGACCGGTTTGGGACGGCAGATGGCCGACTTCCCGCTCGATCCGCCCCAGAGTAAGATGCTGATAGTCGCGTCGAATCTCGGCTGCGCGTCCGAGATCTTGACCATCGTGTCGATGCTCTCGGTTCCCGCGATATTCTACCGGCCCAAAGGTCGCGAGGAGGACTCGGACTCGAAGCGCGAAAAGTTCCAGGTGCCCGAGTCGGTTCACTTGACCTATTTGAACGTCTACAACCAGTGGAAATCCAATGGATATTCCAGCTCCTGGTGTACGGAAAATTTCATCCATGCCAAAGCTATGCGCAAAGTTCGAGAAATTCGCCAACAGCTCGAAGAAATCATGAAGCAACAAAGGGTGACTATCGCTAGTTGCGGTACCGAGTGGGATACGGCTCGCAAGTGTATTTGCTCGGCATATTTCCACCAAGCGGCTCGTCTCAAAGGTATCGGCGAGTATGTGAATTGTCGTACCGGTATGCCTTGCCATCTTCGCTCGACGTCGGCTCTTTTTGGAATGGGCTCTACCCC